TAATCGTACGAGACAATGCACTCGCGTTCCTCTGTACCAGGAATAGTCTGCCATGTAAAAATAGGAGGAGGCCAAAAGGCGTCGCGAACGTCGAAGTTTGCGTATTCCGACAAGTTGTCGTCGAGGCGGTGATTCTCGAGTACGTCGGATCCACATTTGCAGGCAACGACGCTACGCATGGGTTGCCATGTGTTGTACAATTGGAATTGTTGGATGGAGCAGTCTTGTCATGAGCCTTGTAAGAATTGCAATCGATCTCGTTTGTTGTAGTTGAATCGATCTCGTTTGTTGTAGTTGATTTGTCAATTGCAGAGATTGTTTGAGATGGTACGGAGCTTTTTGGAGGAATAGAGGAAGATGCCGGAGGACGGGACATGATGATTGGGGTATGGTTGGGTTAGTAAGTGGAATTGTGATTTATTTCGCGCACAACACAAGGGAAAACACAAATGATTCAAATGCACAAATGCTGTACTTGTATGCTTTGGTACGATGTACAACGAATGCAAAATATGCTCATGCAGAATTTACCGCCTTGATTTGAAAATTAAATACTGTTAACAGTCGACGAAAGTAAATAGTACCGCGGGAAGCGGCGGCATTTAAATTTTTGAAATCATAGCACTTTATACAAACCGTAATGTCATATAATTACAAACAACCTCCAAGTAGAAAGTTTCTCTACTCTGTTTTTTTACATGCCAAGAACGAGCACAAAATCAGTCACCATGAGCGAAGCAAAAACAAGAAAGACAAAGCGTATGCCACCATTAAACTTGCGTACTGATTCTAATGCTATTGTTGAACAAGGTAAAGTTTCAGACAATGCATGTTTTGTGTATGATGTTCAGAATACAACAAAGCAAATTCATTTGCCAGATGAACAAAAATCAATTGCTGTGGAGCGGGTCGTTCACATTCCAAAAAACAAAGGAGGTAAGCCTTTGTTCACGGACAACAAAAAAACCTTGAACATGAGTATGACGGCAATTTCCGTGACAAACATGACGAGCATTGTGAAAACATGTGTCAAAACAATTATTTTTCGTAAATGCAAGTTTTATTACAGAGATGTGCATGGACGTTACAGTACGAAAGAAAACACAATGTGTGGTCAGATTGTCAAACACTGCAATATCACCGATCCAAACGAGGACTGGTGGTACCAGATTCGCCCGATTGTTGTCAACACCATTACGGATCATCGCAACAATTGTATTAAAGCTATACAAAAACGATTTAGCGGTACGTTTTCTTGGACATAATGCTGATTGGGCTTTTTCAAAAGAAAATACTAAACAAAACTTGAAACAGGACCTTACAATTACCGTGGAGGGCGACCTATGTATGTTTATATGAACGGGACGCAGATTGATATTGATAAGCTGTTGATGATGCGTAAGAATTGTGGATTTTACTGTGAAATTATTGATATGTACGCACCAGCAATCGTATCCTCCAAAGAATGGAACAACAAAAGCAAGATGAAGGCGTATTGTGGAACTGACAATCCAAAGGAATTCGGAAAACATATTTTGACTGTTAGTGACGAGGCATTCCTGTTAATTGTGCTGATCAATTACTCTGCGCACTGGTATAGCGAGATTCAGAAGAAGGCAAAAGTGGTACGTTTGCCAATGTGAACCTTTATACGATGTATTATTTCAGGAAACTAATGCCAACGTACAAACACTGGACAGGCACACAACGCATGGACTGCTCAAGATGAACAGGAACATGTGGTGAGTAACTTCAGAAGGTAACAAGATAATTTCAAACTTGACTAACGATTGGTATTTCTACAGATCGCAGCAAAATATACATATTCACGAAAGAAGGGGCAGAAGAACAGTTTACGCCCAGATAACGGAGGCGGAAGTGGCTGGTCTGAAGAAGGCAAACAGTACTTTGACTTTTTATACCGAGCTGTACAGGCAGACAGAAACCAACAGGCAGGAGTAGGTGGATCCAGAAAGGACGGCATTTCATTTAACAAAGAACTGTTGAATTTCTTTTTTGGGCAGACAATTTGCTGAAGAAAACACATCGCATTCAGGGATGGAAAAGCCCGTGAAAAAGAAAAAGGTAACACATCACACGTGCGATGATTTCACAGACTCCGAAGATGAAAACGACAACATCAACGACAATTACTGCAGTGCAGACCCAAGTCGCATTAACAACATAATTGCAATGTAAAGCATTTCAGCAACCACAAGGAATACGAGACGAGAGAAGCAGAAACACCGTCATAAAAATAAGAGAATACTTAAATCAACATTCAGGTAAATGCAAACGACGATATATTTTTAGGAAGACTTCGCAATGCTTATTTACCAGACACGAGCAAAGTAAAAACAAACACTGGCCACTCGTGTTGACTGGGACGCTGCTCGGTTAAACCAGCATCAGTTAAACATACTTCATGTCAGAGGTTACGTAAACACTTACTTGCTTGTGCTAGTAGGGTCCGAAACAAATACGTCGGAGAAAGAAAAAAAAGAACCGACAAATACGTATTGTACACATGGTAGTAATGAGCCTAAGACCATGTTTTCTGACCTTGTTTGTTACAGAAACAATGAAAATATTACACGATTTTACTGATGGACATTTTCAGAAATACGAACAAAAAGCTCGTAGGTGGAGAAGATCGCTGAGCTGTATATCTCGTGAGTACCCGAAAAAACAATCCAAGAACCTGAACTAATTTTTTTCGAATTTACGTCTTGTAGACGGATTTGCACCCTTAGATGTACCAAGCTGACAAGGTTCGAGGGGTGGCGATGCACTGTATAGTTTCTTTCGATAATAGATTTGAGATGCAGGAATAGATAATAAGACCGTATTTAAACGCAAGTATGTGACCTTTTAACTTCTCTATCATTTCTTATAACAAACACATACAGGACGTAAACATCATTATCCCAACTCGTACAGCACCATGTACGCCGTTGTTGCAGCGCCCATAGCGCTGTCCAATCGACTCACGTTATCGTCATTAAATCGTGTCAAGCCCTCTCGCCCATTCCGTACAGACGATTGGCATCGGCTGTATAATGGCCGCAGGATGCCGATGACCCAATATGGTTGCAAATACTGCGAATTTGGTAGCATGACGCTTGCGTCGCTTGGGCGGGAATTGTGACATCGTCGGTAACAAACTCTCCGAGTACAGAGCGAACATCGAGACTGAGTGATGAAGGAAACTCCACGGCAGATTGATTCTTTCGGTACGTGATACTGCTGTAATCTGGACTGATATCGACGATGAATCGCTTGAAATGAAAAAGCAATGCTGGCGGGAGTTTGGTGATTTCCGTTGTTTGGGTGGCTGATTCACAAAAGCACTTCTCGCATTTCAGCTCGCGTTTTTCTGGAGAAAAGAACTTTCGCAAACCCTCTTCCACACTTGTACCTTCGCTTGAGCCAACATCAATCGATAGGTGGAGGTATTTCTCTATCTGTGTACGTGTGTACTTGCATGAGTCACATGTCAGACGTGATCGAACTTCGGTGCAGAAGTAATCACCGATCGGTGACGAATTTGTGACCGCCTGAGGTCGAGCGGGTGACGATGATTCTGTGGACGCCGAGGATGCATCACCACTATCATCCTGAACTTGAAGAGGAGACGAAACACCCGGTACCACCGCCCTTCCTCCAATCAGTTTGCATTGAGGGTGTTGCTCTTCCGTTGGTCGATGAGTCCTCGGCTTCAATGATTCACTTGTAATTTCATGCTTTTTCGTCGTCGCCGTAGAGCAGCATGGAAATTTCATCCACTTTGAGGTCGCAGAAGGAAGGGAGGCGTGATAACCACCCATCATCACCCTCGCCGGAGTTGGAGTCATTATGAATACCGCCGGTCTGAGGTCCGGTTGATGATTCTTCGTTCTTTTGCTGACCCTCTTTTGATGGATGCTTTGTATCATCACCATCCGCCACTCTGCTAATGGCGTTTTCATCCACTGAACTTGTACCATTACTGTCAGTAGTCCCTTGATACACTTCATCCAACAAGTCCAACAACGTCGTTAGAAACTCATGGGCGTCCTGTTGCCGAAATCCAACGAACAGAGGCGATCGTTCGTCGACAGCCTTTTTTGAAAGCATCAGGACGGACGGTTTCTCCGCTTCGCAATGTTTCCATAAGTGACAAAAATTCAAGTCGTAATCTCAATTTTGCTTCGTCTTGCGATAGCGGCGACGCCTCTTCCAATGCCGACAAGAAATGATCCAAGCTCGCCAGCATCTGTGTAGCAGAATTCAAATAGCAGGTGTTCCCCAAGTTGACGAGGCCACCGAGCGCTGTGGGGATGTCGTCCTCCACATCTTCCATGACAATATCGTCTGCCAACGAAGGAACTGAGGAGTCGTCCGCCAATGATTTGCCATCATTTTCTACAAACACGAAATCTTCATCTTCATCCATACCAAGCTTAGGAATAGTGCTGATGGGGTCGAGACGAGGTGAAAGGACAGCTGTTGACATTTGAGGCTTGGTGAGAGGCAGCTTCACACTATGGCAAACGCCGTTCGTGGTTTCCTCAAGCGTGGTCTTTGGTTCACGAGTGGATGAAGAAAAGGAAAAGGGGAAAACTACAACACGTCGTGAATTTTCGCAACGCCAACGAGTCAGGGCAGGGCGACGTACTCCCGTATTTTGATTTTGACCAGTCAATCTCATCCACGAATCTTGCGACGAATCTCGTGGACGGTCATCGAACTTCAAATTTTTGCACTCCTGCAACGCAACGTACGAGCCTACACGAATGGAAACTGGTACTGTACCGGAACACAGTGACTGGTACTTGGCTTTAAGCTCCATCTACCTTTGTTTCAGTATCGTCCTTCCTAATGTACTACAATACAACTTAACTGGTCTACAACAGTCTACCGTAGTAGAGTGAGACGAGCAGACGAACAATCCTCTCGAAAAGAAATGCGTTTCCTAGCATTCATAAACCTAATTTTCACTCGCACTGGTGCTGGTCCAGGCATCACTGGCGCAATGGTAGCGCGTAGCACTCCTAATGCTGAGGTTGTGGGTTCGACTCCCGCGTGGTGTAAATTCCTTTTTTACCTTTTGATCAGTTCCACTTCCACGAGAACTACTACCTGGTACCGGTAGTACAGTACATTATACACTACTCAATCACTCACCATCTCACCATCACATCATTCGTCATCTGATCAGCAGCAAAAGCAATTATTGAAAATACATCGAGTACACTCGCAGTAACCCCTAAAGTTGACATGCCACAAAATGAGCAAGCAAACGACCCCCTCTCATCTAACACCATCGAAGACATGAATGAACGCGACGACGATGATTCGTTGATGGATTACGATGGTGATTCCTTCGATTCTGAGGATGAGAACTACGATTCCGACGAAGATCTCGATGATGCGTTCACCCTTTACATGGAAGCTGCATGTGGAGGTAACCGGGTGATAGAAACAAAAAAATCTTCAGCGGAGTTATGGACAGAATTCTTGGCCGATCAAGATTCGAAAGTCTTGAAACTAACGGATGAATTTGTTGAAAAATTTGAACTCAGAGACTCAACAACAGCGAACCAAGTCATCCAGGCAGTCAATGGGAACCGTGGCTTGACGCATGTGATACTCGGCCACCAGTTTCTGCAACTGGTAGATCAAGATAGGCTATTTGATGCTATTTCTACCCACCACGCAAGCACATTGACTTACCTCAAACTCACCCCTGAATTTGGAGGATCGAGATTGCATGTGGAAGCCTTGCTCGCGACCTTGGCCAAGGCATCGCACCTTACTGAGTTGGAACTCCATAATCTCATCCTGCAACACACGGAAGGAGAAGTTGAGGCGCTTGCAGAATTACTCAAGGCAGGTTCATTACGGCAAATTTACATCTTCGGAGTTGGCGTTGAAGGCATGGAAAGCATGGAAAACATGGGAAAGCTCGATTCCATCTTGCAAGCGTTGAGCACACTGGAACCGCTCGACGAATTGCGCCTCGAGGGTCTGGGCAGCCCTGCTGTTGGGTCTTTAGTATCGATATCCGCTCTCCAAGAGCTGCTCCTACGGAAGCAGAAATGGTGGAGACTTGGGTTGGACAACATGGGTTTGTCTGACGATCATTGTTTTGTGATTGCTGACATGTTTGCACGCAATGAAAATTGCAGGGCTGGTGATCTGCTTTCATTGAAATCCAATCCTGCCGTGACGCAAATGGGCTACCAGAGAATGTTTACAGTTTTTTATAGGAGAGGTAGGATGGGGCTCGTCAAAGTGGACGACCAGTTGTGGGAGGCGGAATTCGACCTCGTTCGATCCATGAACAATTTGCATGGGCGGTTGGAGGTTATTGTTGATGGGATGATTACTTCAAGGGAGGACTGGGTAGACTGGGCATCAAAAATTGGAGCAAGTAGCACCTGGGAAGCCGACAGCAAGAAGTTGAATTATATTTGGTTTGCGCTTCGTGAACACCCAGGCATCGTTGAACAAGATTAAGAGCCGTCGCTCTGAGTAGCTACACTTTGCAATCATTAAATCGCCTTGGGGATAGGGAAGCCACCAGTAGGCGTTTGTTCTGGCAGGATGGCAAGTTTCGCCACCGCGCTCCATTTTTCGACGGCACTTGAACGAAAGAAAGAATCGAATGGCATGCATATGCCGCGATGTCTACCGTCGACTCAAGGTTCATGGACAATTAGCAGTACGCTTGAGCATATATGATGGACAGAGTCTACCTCTAGTGATCACTCAGGAGACGACGAGCTTGCTGCGACATTTAGATACCCTGGTACCACCGGTGGTGCGTGTGGTTGCAGAAATCTGTGCTGTCGTGTATGTATGCATAGTTGCCTAGTATGTAGCCACCGTGTGTCGTGATTTACGCGACGACGTCCATGCCCCTAACCCCCAACGACGCAGAGCTCAGGATCTTAGGATACACAGGATACAACATAGACACAACATAGTAGTAGTACTAGAGACTACTCTCGAGTCCTATGATACTCTACTTGAGTACAACATATATCATATATCACTTATATTGGGAAGTGAAATCTGTGACTGAACGGTGACTCGATTTTCTACACCATTTGGTACGTACGCTGAAATCAACGAAATGTTGTACTAGCGTAAACCTCCTCAAGTACTTACGACAACCGTGAATGAAACATTTGGGAGCACCACAATAAAGCATCAGACCATAAATCCAAGTTCTGCGCCTAACATCCATTAACGAGTCACGCCTTATTCCATCGCTGGGATATCTTGTCTTGTCGTTGAAAGAAAAGAAAACGAATAAAGATGGGTAGGTATTGCAGTCAATGCGGTCAGTTCGAAAATGACTACAGCAACAATCAATGGGCGAAGGGTGAAGGGCAGTCTCGCTGCCGACCTTGCGTGGATGAAGGTCAGGCACAGAGGTACAGCCGTGTCGCCACTCCCTACTTCGGATGCGCTACATGTGGACGCGAGTTCGGCAGCCAGAATGAAGTCAACATGCACATGCAAGTGCACCGTCCGAAAGAGGTCGCGTGCCCTATTTGCGGAGACCGTCGATTCGGTTCTGGTGCCAACGCTGTCCAGCATGTTGAGAGCGGTTCCTGCACTGGATGCAGGGGACAAGCCAATGCGAGGATCAGATCTACAAGTATGCTTCTGCTAAGGGACAGATGCAGCAATTCATTAGCACTCCGATGTTGGAATACCAAGGATATACCAATACCGGAACTCCTGAGTTTCCTTACCACTGCCAACCATGCAACAAGAAGTTTCGCCAAATGAGCCAGTTGCTTCAGCATCAGGACCAGAAACATAACAATCTCATGGCGCTCACCAATTACTAGTCGCAACAAAAACCTGAAGCAATCCATGTATGGAGTGTGTAAGGTCAAACATGCTCACATACATATTCGCACACGGATTGCATAACTTATAAGCCTGCGTATTCCAAGATTCATATCTCCGACGCCATTATCGTTGATGCTATTTTTGCTCTTCAGTTGAAGTTCACATAATTGTCTCTGCTACTACTAGAGCTTCTACGATCAATTTAGGAGTAATGTTTTGCTGTCACACTCAGTGCCTCATTGTACTACCTGGCTACTCAGTACCCGCTAGCCGGAGATTGAACTTGACGAAGGGAGTCTAGTAAGTAAATAGTCTACTCATTTTCGAATTACAATCGGATCGTCGTTAACAAGGACCACCCGAATAGCTCCAAAGTCCGGAGTATAGTACCTGGTAGCTTACTAAAACAGTACCGGTAGTAGAGCTGGAGGATACAAATAAACTACAGGTACTGTAGTAGAATTCAATGTAACGCCATACTCCAGTACCCAAGAAGACGGCTAGTAAGGCGGAAATGTTGTGACAGTATTCCAACGATACCGGTGTAGCATCAGGAACGAGTAGTGGTACTGATACGAGGTTATTTCAAGGTCCATTTCAACATTTCAACACGATCGATCGTTTGAAGTTTGAAAAAAAACAGACCTCGAGCCTATGATAAGTTTCTGCAACATTCTGGACTTTTCCTTCGGACCCGAAGGACTTCAGAATTTCAGAACACATATGTCATATGTCACATATGGGCAAATGTGTCACCGGGTTACGTGTCGAGTCGAAATGTAACAAAAGAAACGATCATACCATTAAAAAACCCGATCCATGCGTACAACCTTTGCGTGTACCATGGGTAGGTATTGCTGTGACTGTAACACTTACTGCCATGCTGATGAGTTCAGCAACAACCAGTGGTCCCGTGGCGATGGATACTCGCGTTGCCGCTCTTGCGTTGGACGACCATGTGCTGAATGCCGACGTTTGAAAGGAAGTGACGAGTACAGCAACAATCAGTGGTATAAGGGAGAGGGGCTGTCGCGTTGCCGATCCTGCGTCGATTCCTACAATTGGGAATGTGCTACATGTGGACGCAATTTTCGAAACCAGAATGATCTAAACATGCACATGCAAGTGCACCGCCCAAAACAGGTTGCGTGTCCTGTTTGTGGAGACTGTCGATTCGGTTCGGGTGCCAACGCTGTCCAGCATATTGAGAGTGGCTACTGCACTGGATGCCGAGGACAGGATAATGCGAGGATCAGATCTATAAGTTTGCTTCTTCCAAGAGACAGATGCAGCCGTACATCACCACTCCCATGTTGGAGTACCACGGATATGGCAATTCCGGAACTCCAGACTTTCCCTACCGTTGCCAATCTTGCGACAGAATGTTTCGCAATTTGAGCCAGTTGCTCCAGCATCAGGATCAAAAGCATAACAATCACTTGGCACTCACGAACTATTAGTCTTGGAAAGAAACGAATTTGAAGCGAAGCTTTCCTGCATGAGGGACACGCCTTACAAGTCCAGTGACGTTCATGCACTGAAGTTGTAAGATGCATGTCGACAAAATTTAGCATTAGTTAGTTATTAGGATATTCATTTACAACTCTTCGATCGTAACCGTAGATTGTGCATACAGTGGAAGAGGATTGCCGCTGTTCGCCGGCGCGGCTAGGTGCGGAGGTCTCGACTCGATACCTCGACCTTCTTTGCTTGATTTTCGTAGCCACCATTCGGAGGCTGGTAACCTTCATACTTTGTCGATCGTGTGGGATCCTCGAAGCGGTAGTCGACTGGCTTTGTATCGATGCTCCAGTGATTAATGCGGAAGCCAAAGATTGGAATCAATTTCTTGAGTTCATCCGCGGCTGGTTGGAGATGAGCGTTGGTATGCCATTGCAAGGGTCCGATGTTAATCCACTGACCACCCATACGCAGAACGTTGGACAAGACAGCGAAGTATTCCAGCACATTTGTTGCCGTATCGAGAAAGAAGCAAGTTACTACCACGTCGTAAGATGAGGATTGTTGAGATCCATAGATTCGAACAAAATCACCGATTGTGTACGACAAGTGACCAGCAACAGAGGTGTTCGGACGATTGACTTTGACCGATTGAAAGCGCAACTTGGAGTTCACTTCATTGACAAAAAAATCTGTTGCAAACGGGTATATAACAAAACGTGGAGTATTCTGAAACAAGTGGTATGCCACTGCTGCCATT